AGCATTCTGGTTGTTTGTTGATTGCCACTCAAATGGATTTACAATTTAGCTCATACAGTGCTTTTGTCTTGTCAATATTCCCATTTTGAGACATAAGCGCACCAGTGTGGATGAATTGCTCCACCATTTTCAAGTCAATGCATCTTGGAGACATAAGTGCACTTAAACATAGAATTAGAGGCTTGGGACTAGCCTTTAATTACCAGCATCTGGTCCTGCACAATATCTCCATATTGTGTGTGACTATTGGCTTTTCTTTGGTGGGAGTGTCACAAGTCTTGTGAAAATTGCTTATCCTCTGTGTGTTTCTATGGTTTCAGTGCAAGGCGAAATTACTGCAGTCCTCCGATGAAGCTAATGGCTTTAAATAATACACTCAAGTGTAGTGCCAGAGAAATTGGCATTCATGGAGTTAATCACCGGTCTGATACAACCTTTAAACATAATTATAACGTGCACTGTGGACATTGACTTGTTTCAGGGCTTTTTAGACGAAGAAAAAACATCAGTTGTCATTTTGTCCAACCTGTTATCAAGAAACATCTTGCAAAGCACTGATAGAATTGTTTTATCTCAGATTACTAGTTTTGTAACAAGGTCCTCAACAAAACATGTCAATGGTAATTAAATACTCTCACTGGAGATTTTCTCGCCACAACTCTTTGAAGCCTAAATATAAACTTTGTTCTGTAGATGCTGATACTGTTTTTTTTTTTTTTTTTTTTTTTGAAGGCACATGCGGAATGAACAAGTGGAGCCAACAATGAGATTTCCACTTGACTAGTGTCCAGTAGAATGATAAATGAGTTGGCAGAGTGGGCTATTGCATTGATTTGAAGTTGTGCTAACCTACCACTCTGGATACAACACAAATATTAGCTGTCCTTGTTTATTTCGGTGCCTAATTCAGTGTGTGGGGTGGCAAATGTAGGCGACATCTCTCAAGACTACACAGTGGTTGCATATACTTCAATGTGTGTGTGGGTGTGAGTGTAAAAGGGAACAGAATAGTGTCAATTTAAATCAAATTAGCATGGAAGCAAATTAAGCAGAGGGATTTAATTTGTGCTGTTGTAAAATGCTAATTCTTGCTCAGCCCGGAAGCTCATATGCAAATTAAAAACAATTTTACAATAATTCATATTAAGCCAGGCATGCATAAAACACACATTACAGCTTGATGTCATCTGGGAAATATAGTATCATTGTGGTTTTTGGACTTGCCACAAGATGATCCTGCCGAGGAGTATGTTTGCATGCACATTTGTAACTTTTAAATTCATCTATATTACATTTCATGATATCAACATTACGGTTTTTTTCTATTTTCGCTCCTAATTGTACTAATACCACAGTTGTACAGTAGTAGAAACTATAAATACATTAATCTCACAAAGTACTAGATCCAGAGGTTTCCAAAACAAACAATTTAATTTAATATTTAATATAGTTTTTTTTCATGCCACAGTGGTGATACGTCAGTGATAAAATCAGTTTTTTATGAACTAAAGATTTTTAAAGCAACATCTGTGACTATGTCGGCATGGGATTGTTGCGACAATACTCCTCTCTCCACTGTAGAAAAAGTATGGAAAACGTGAATGGTTGTTCTAAGTAAAGGGGCATGCAATTTTGCTTACAGCCTGCTATTTACAGTTTGCAAATGCTCAAACAATAATGGTGCATCAATAAGTAATTTGCTGTTTATCGACTTACGATGTCGCTGGGTCAATTCATCTACATGTACAGTAAAGTAAATGTTTTGTGTTGATGCTCTCAGCATGTGCAGATCTCTGTAAATCCAACTGCCTCTACATGAGCAAAGGTGAATGTAAATTGGCTATGGGAGGGATTCATCTTTAGGGAGTGCTGGCTAATACTGATTTGACACGTTTTAGTCAAATGACTTTGATCTACTAAGCAATGTAGAAAAACGCTAGATGCTGGGTATTCAGGAGTAGGACATGCCTAATCATAAAAAAATCATACAAATTATAAAAATATAAAAGTGGCAAAGTTGAACTAACAGGTTGAATGTGCTTGACTTTTTACTCTTGGGTAACACTGCATTAGTAACAACCATGATGCTACGATGGATGCAAATGACTGGACTCTAGTTTTCAGTTTCTGACCATTGAACAAAACTTGTAATCTGAGACAGTTTGTATCCTCAGTTTCAAATTAATTACAGTTATTAAACAAATCTAGTTATGTTGCCTCTGTACTAAATATTAATATTTAATATATTTATTTTATTGTATTTAACCAATGGTAATTTATTATTAGTTTTAGATTTTTTCTCTAATCTCTTTGTCTGAGAAAATAAGCTTCAATAGCCATTCCAATATTTAACACATTTTTTGTTGAACTGAAAAACCCCCTCCACAAAAAATTGTAAAAATCACTTTACTAAAACTATTTTTAGTAAAGTAAATTACTAACTTTTGAAAAGTCAGACAAGTTACTAAATGGCAAAAAATCTGAAAGTGTTAAACCCTTTCAGCAAATCCTCTCATCTTCAGCTATTTCCCTTTTACATTACTGTTGAGCAAAAGAGGAATTGTTTGTTTTCTCTCTGCTCTTCCTCACTAACACGCCGTCCTCTTGGCTCACAAGGGACAATTACGTCCCTAATTCAAGCGATTGCTGAGCCCAATTTTCCACACAAATTAAACGGGACACATTTGAAGAGTGAGGGGAATGGGGTGAAGGAGAAAATGAGAGCGCAACACCGGATGAGACAATGAAAACACAGCAGCAGAACAAAAAGTGACAGAAAAAGAGAAACCCAGACCTCATAAGGTGGCACCCCAGTTAACACATTAACAAAAATATAGATTTACTAGAGAGGGGGCTGATTGGCATTTATTTGGGGAGGGGGCAGCTGTGTCCACTGCATGCGGTAACAAGTAGCTCTAAGGCACTAAGGACTGTGCCATCTGTTGAACAGGTCCAGTCAGCCATTTTCTGCCCCCGCCTGTCTCGTATCCTCCACCTTATCTGCAGCCGGAGGCTGCCTCATACACAAATGGATCCAGAGCACCAACAGAGGGCAGCTCTCCCTACAGAAATGCAGTGGCATTTGAGTGCCAACGGGTTAGTCTAGAGCGGGCACAATTGAGGTCTCTTTTGGTCCTGAGTGCACATCACAGATGGGAAGAGAAGCCTAGAGTGTCTGAGCTGCCTATGAATATGCAGCAGTACAACAGAGGTAAATTAGGGAGCTTCTGTGTTGCTTCCAAACAGAAAGGGAGGAAGGTGGGCTGACAGCAAAAAAAAAAAAAAAATGCCCAAAGAAAAGCAGCAGGAAGAATAAGCCCAAATGAGAAATGGGTAGAAAATTGTCAATTAGCAAGAAACACAATAGGAGAGTGTTTGAATGGAACGTGTGCATGAGGAAGATCAGGCAGAGCAAGGACACAGTGGAGTGCAAATGAAGCCCAATGATCATTTTTACAATCTGAAAAAGTTTTGACCATGTAAAGCTTTTGCTCTGAAATCTTAGTTGTACACAGGGCTAAAGTAATCTCTAGTAAGTTTTGTTTCTCTCACCCTTAAAATCATCAAAGCAGCCACCGTGGATGATAAGTTTGTTTTGGCTTTGAAAAGATGACCCAGAACAGCTGTCAAAGTAGGATATGGAAGCATCGGCAGCTGCTAGCAGGCGACTGAGGCTAGGAAATTAAGAGGGTGTTTTGGGGGATGGTCAGTTAAGAGGCGTCAAGATTCGGGGGCTGCTGAACACACCTGTCCAGGTCTTTGTGACATTTGTGCCCAAATGTGACTGTGGAATGCCTGGACAAGTGCGAGAGAGTGGCAGCTCTGTCAAAATAAATTTTGAGAAAAATATATGTACGTTTTTATCCTCATTCGGTGCTCTCATGTAGATTTATGCTAGACTTTGGAAGATGTGCCACAGTTTCTGAGAATATAACTTTAAACAGCCCCCTCGCCACTAACATTTATCGACTCTAGTCCTTTTTGGGAAGATCCCGTAATTAAATCCTGTCAATAAATCCTGGGGCGGCACATAAAGGGGGGAAATAAAAAGAGAATGAATTTCTTCATTTGCCTCCCTCCTGCTGTGAGACATATGTAGCGCTAGGCAGAGTAGGAAAAATAAAACACATCTGAACAGATTGTAGGGAGCATTTCTCAAGCACAAAGTTGAAAATCTCAGCCATCAATTTCACTTTGTGTGGCTCAGTTGTATATGACCTTGGGTGAATGATCCCTTCATTCACAGGTCTTCAGCTCAACCGAGGGCTTCGGTCTCTGCGAAGGGAGCAATAAAAGTTTTATTCGTCCCTACGCGACTCCTGAGGCTTAATGATTCATGGATCTCGCCGTTAAAAAAGGAGAGGGTGGCAAAAGAGGGATGCTGTGGTGCAGCACCAGAGCTCAATGAGGTTTAAAAACTGTTGTAACGCATCAATGGACATGTGTCTGATGTCTGAAGTAACTCAATTCCAACGACTTCTAGTCGTAGGAGTTCAGAATGAGGCCTGGATGTAAGGTTCACAAGACAGTTTGTTTTTATATTTTGTGGCAACAAAGATGTGGAACCATAGGGAACAGGGAGTTGAACTGATGTTGACAACTGTTGAAAAGGAGAAATGATGATGTCTCTTTAAGAAGGGGGAAGAAAAGGCCTATAGAACTACGGTGTTGGATAGGGGTGTGTCATAAATAGTGATACTTTTACAGTGGTCTTCTCTATATGATTACCGCATTAGGATGTTTTTCTCATATTGAGATTTTTATTCAATTTGGCAAGAACCTACGTATTTGGGACAGTTTCTTTCCAACAGTACTGTATATCAGGTATCTCATGCTACTGCATGTAGCCTTGCTTGAATCATAAGGAGCATTTGCAAATACTTATGTTGGACATGAAAGACATGGACTTTTGTATACCTGTAAGGCATTACACCTAGTCAATGACAATAAAAGCCCAAACTCAGCAGTTCACAAAACTCTGGGAACCATAGTTCACTTACTTTGAGTGTCGGCGAGGTGGAGGAACAGACCCAGGACAAGCAGCAACGGCAGCAGCAGTGTGGGTCTGGCTCTGTGCATGGTGGGACAGCTTGGCACCAGCATGCTTTGGCAGCCTTGGTGGCACTGGCTCACAGGGCCCTGTGAGTCAGTCTGGTCTGATTTCTCAGATGCAGGGTATTCACAGCCTATACAGGGAGAAGAAGGAAGAGGGAGAGAGTGAGATGGCGGGAGTGAGCGAGGAAAAAGAGAAGGCGACTGAATGAAACAAAGCTGTTTGGCTCCATGGGTTTTATCTATCCCTGCACATTTTTGACATACCCCCACACAGACTCAGCTAGAGCTGACAGTGGATAGGAAGAAGCTGATGTGCTCACAGGGTATGTTCTGACAGTTCTCTAAATGAAATAGTCTTTCACACAATGTGTGTGCATTTGTGCGTGTGTGTGTTAGAGAGAGAGAGAGAGAGGGAGTGAGAGAGAGTGAGAGAGAGAAAGACCACATTGATGAAAGGGTAAAGTAATCAGATTTTGACTTCACAGCTATGGTTGGGAGCACCAATTAAAAAACAGTGTGTAAGTATGTCATCTTCCCATACAGCTGTATACATGTTTCACATGATTGTGGCATGTAAACACAATAACGACATATTCACATAAAGCAACGAAACAGACGTTTCACAGGTGGAGGTGAAAAAATTCTAAGACAAATTATAGTAATTTTTACTTAAACCAAAAATAGTTTTTCTCTAGATATCCTCAACTTTCAACTTTTCCACCAGAGAATTCCTTCTTTGTAGAATACACGGTATTTGCTCTGATTGAAGAAGTGTTTTATTGTTGGAAAAACATGAAATTGACATTAATCCCTTAACATCCTCTAAAATAAGTCTTGGAACTTTCTGTCATTACCCTTATATTTTCTCTTTCACTAAACCTGAAAAATATGGTTCTGCTTACAGCTCAGCAATTTGCATTCAAACGTTTTCCTTAGAGCTCTGCGCAGCTGCATTTCAGAGAAGTATCCTGTCTGCAGGTTAACCAATGGTTGCACCAATGGTTGCAGATTGTGTGACTGCAGAACGGAAATAACTAATAGTGGGGCCAGTGTTTTCAGTATTGTTGGTGCAGCAGTAAGAAGGTGTTGGTGTAAGTGTGAACAAAGGAGACTGAAATAAAACATGTGCTGTCACCCATTTTAATAGAAACACTTGGAAGGTTGACATAAATGACTTCGTGAAATTTTAGTGTGTTGAAGTGTTGAAGGTGTGAAATGAATGCAGAAGGAAGACTGTGAGTGGCTTCCCGTTAAAACATATTTGTACATTTAGTGATGTCTCAAAATTGCATTTGTTATTCACTAAGCACCGCTGCCATGACTGGTTATTTACACTTCGAAGTAAATAAATTATATCCAGAGCCCATTTATATTTTAAAGCACATTTAATCCACAGGGGCTTTTCTCTTTCTGCTTTTTTGTTTCATTATTTTGCTCGTCTGCAAACACACACACACGTTATCCAGTGTCACTCAAACAACAACAAGGAAAATCTATAAGACAGTGCTCAACGGTTGTCATTCTTGTTGGAGCCGTTTATCGAAAAAGAGCCACAATGTGTCTGTGAAAATCAATGTGATACAGTGAGCTGGTGTTAGCCGCAGACTGGCTCTGTCCCTTGTCATCCATTAGCTTAAGCCAAAGCTTTATCCTTAGTGATGGATGCTTAGCGCCTGACTGGTATACAGCTCCAAGCTAATTTGAGTTTGGATGATGTACCAGACTGCTGGTTAGTATGCGAGTTGTCGTGCTTATTCTGCTGTATGGCTGTTGTTACAGCTGTGATGCCTGGTTGCGACTGACCACTGTGACATTTCTGATACTTTATGTACCATGATTGTAATCACAGATCTTGAGGTTTTCTGAATTATTTTGCAGTGGGAATCATACTTGCAGCCCACAGCAGTTTTTGCTACAAATAACACTTTGTTAAACTTCTTATCTGGAGATTGTCCTGTCAACCAATGAGAGAGGGACAGAAAAGAATCTCTCAGCATCTCTCGAGTCCAATCAGTAGACCTGGTGATGACAAAGAGCCTCATTTCCCTGTTACCAAATATCCTCTTTCCTAAAGCAAGCTGGCTGCATGTGGTGTCTGTGGTGCTTTAAATGGAAGAAAAGATGGGAAGATTGCACGCCTCAGTTTGTGTTGGTGGGAGATAGACACGACTACCTGTCTGCAACCACTGCTGGCCCAGCAGTGAGCACATACACATACAGCACAAGTGAGCACAAACACATACATCCCCCACAAAAAGATGCATGTGCATCCATTTTGTTTAACACAGTACACAGATATATGGTATTTTCATATGAGTAATAGTATTTTTTTCCACGATGATTTCCGTTAGAATCAAAAACACAAAAAAACATGAGCATGGTTTGAGGGCAAGAGTGTCAGCTGTACGTAATCCAGGGACAACCGCCTTGTCTGAGACACTTATTGTTTTATGCATCTACCCTTTCTAATCTAAATGATAGCCTTTAAGCTAATTAACGAAGTGTGAATTTCCATAATGACATATTAGGGAGTACACAAAGGACAGGAGTCAGCAGCACTCTCTCGCTCTCTCTCTCACTTACACACAAGCTGAAAGAGACAGAACTAGCCTGACATCCAAGTTGCAGTGTCATGCAGGTAAATACACTAATGCTGGCTAGCACAGGAATTTATGAGATACTGCAGCTTTTTGTTTTGGAATCTTGTGTTTATGATTAATTGCATGAACTGTATACACATGTGCATATATTTAATACGCATTTCCATATCATTTAGTAACATTAAATAAGGAGCCAACCACCTTTGCTCGTTTTATCCATTCTAGGTTATGGACTTTTATACATTTGGTAGCAGGGACACTTCCCATTGAACATTTATTACAAAAGAAAAGGGGGAAAACAATCTTGCCTTTCTTCCTGAGCCTTGGTGGTATTATTGTGTTCCCATTCAGTGGTGCTTCATTCAAAGGATTTTGCTGTTGATAGTGATCATGCATTATTAAACAAAGCCTGACAACATGCACAATGTTAATTAGAAAAGGAGGGAGCGTGTGGTGAGAAAAAGAAAGGGGCTGTTGAGCTGCCTCTTCTTTTTCTTTCCCCATGATCCTTATCAGATATGTGAAAGAGAAAGAAGGAGTGTTTATATTCTCCATAATGGCTGTCTCCAGACTCATTTGAGTGTATGGGTTTGGTATTCTGGTCTATTTAGATCAGCAATATTATTAAAGAAGGGGAAACAAAAGAATAACTCACAATAATCTTATATTCTAGCCATGGCACAATAAACTTGATATGAAAGCATGTACGCTGAATTCATATGAGGTCTCTGTGGCAGCAAGTTTAAACCAAATTTGTCCTTTTATATTCTCACCCAAAATTAATGCTGACATCTGAGGACTTATCATGATACATCCTCAAAGCAAACTTAAAAGGGTTTTTAATAAAAATGTTGAATAAGATCATCTTTCTTACACTACGGCTAATTTTGCTGTTGTCAGCTACACTGGATTTTTCAAAGGGATATTTCTAATTTCAGGCTCATTCATAAGCCAAATTGCAGTGATATAAAAGTTGTTACGGTGTGTTATCGCATCCGACCACAGCTGCTGCAGAAACGCCAGCAAATCTAGAAAAATCAGACCCTTTGTAATTAGCCACACATGTAACGACAAAACATGGTCGAGCCACCGAGGGTAGGATATAAAGTGCCTTTGGTTATAGATTTTAAAAAAAGCCAAGTACCAGGTCCAGTCAGGCAGAGCAAATAAGAATTTGCTTTACTTTATGAGGCAGTACTTTCCATTTCCCTCTAGAATAGCCGAGTTTAGGAATGTAGTAATTACCCCCGTATGCACACTTTCAAAATACAGCTATACGCAAGGGCTATAGCGCTGAGCACACGGTGTAGGCTGCTGAGTTAGTACTGTAATGATTATTGTGATACTTCTGTTTGATTTTGCCCCGACACTGGGAGAAACTGCTTTTGAAGCAACTATTGTGGCAGGGAAAGGGCACAAGATGACAAGACATCAGGGCTATGGCCAGTGAATTTACAGCCTCACACCAGGACATATTTTAAAGTCAAGGTGTTCTCAGAAAATCTCTCTCACGGAGACGTAGGGCTATATGGACATACATGTACAGGTCAGGTCAGGTTTAAAATGGTCTTATCCATAACAACCTTCTATTCTAAGTCAAACACTAAATATTAAGCTATGTGGGCCCAAACAAAAACAAAAACAGAAAAAAAAAGACTTAATCAAAGCTGGATGTTGAAATTGGTTCACTAGTCCTGAGTGAAGTGTTTTTTTTTAAATTGGGTTGCGTTGTATGGAGTATTGTTCTTGTCTTACATAAAGAAAATTGGCCGGTTCATTGCTTGGACTTCCTGTATGAAGTTGTTTATGCTTGGGATTAAATAGGTTAACGGCTCACTCTGAATTCAGCATAGGTGTGAGTGTGAAGTGTAGTTTATTTATATGGCCTTATGATGGACTGATGAATTGTCCAAGGTTTAAAGACCCTCTGTCATTGACTGGTGGGATTACCTTAACCCACCACAACCACCACAACCCTGACAGGGATTTTGCAGAAGAAAATAAATGAATGAAAACTGTGTTGAAATTCAATTTCATAACTGTGTGCATATTAGTTTAATTCTCAGACTGTGCATTTATTTTGCCATTTATTGTGAGAAGCAGCTGTACATATATTAATCATTTCCCCACAAAAACATGTAGAAGTTGACATATTGACTTCTCAGGCAGCTGCATTGAGAACAGCAAAAGACAGCTTTCTTCCACGAGCCCCCACTTCCTCATTCCTCTCATCAGGAGAGGTTAAATTTGGAATAAATCCACAACATGTCTTGCATGTCAGCCTTACCCTCTTATCTTTTTCTTTACTCTGTCTTTAAGGCTAAATATATAAAAGTCGGTCTCTCTTTTACTTTCTGGTTCGTGGTCTTTTTTTTTTTTTTGTTCGTAACCACTCGTCTCCTGTGTTTTGCTCTTGTCTGTTTTGCCCTCTGTGTTTTCTTTTACAGCAACTTTTTTTTTCTTGCTCTGACCACCATGCTTTGATTTAAGACAGTGTGACAAGGCCGTTTCTCACACTTCACTCCCGATCA